CGAATTTTTTGTAATCCATGATTGAATTTTTTGAAAATTTGTGATTTTTTTTTTTAATCCATGATCGAATTTTTTTTGTAATCCATGATAGAATTTTTGGAAAATTTGTGATTTTTTTTTTTAATCCATGATCAAATTTTTTTTGTAATCCATGATAGAATTTTTTGAAAATTTGTGATTTTTTTTTTAATCCATGATTGATTTTTTTGAAAATTTGTTTTTTTTTTTTTAATTCCATATTATTCAAAGAGAAAATGAGAGAGATGATGATTATGAGGCCACCCTATCCCAGCCATATTATTCACATATCGAGTCCCAATAGCAATAGTATAGGGATGAGCACGACAGTGCAGGTGAGCATGAAGGATGGACAATCTTCGGGGATTTTAGATTGAGAACACAACAAAACACTAACACTCAGGGATTTGAGAATAGTCAGACACCTGCTAATATCGATGATTCGTTTTTAGATCGAATCATTGAATTGTTAAACAAATTCAATCAATGGCACCAGCGTGACCAAGAAGAACAATAACGTCGTCTATCATTTTATTTTTAGATCATATGTTACTAATTTTATGCTTTATTGTAGTCCATGTATGTTGATATACTTATTCTATGATAATTATATGTTTATCCTTTTGTGTGATGTAAATTAAATGCTGAATGGCGGTTCATGCAGGGAAAGAACATATCAATATTCGTATATTCATTCAAAAACATGAAAATTCTTAATAGAGTACCCTCATTTTTTATTGAATTCTTAAAAAATAATATTTATAATGAATTTTAATAATTTTTTCGGATTTTTTGTAAGCTTTATTTTGATCGATTCACTCGATTCCAGATCCGAATAGCCGATTTGTCGATCCGGATCGGTTTTTTGGAAGCCCGATCCGGGTCACCGATTCGTTTTTTAAGCCATTGGTTATATGGTTAATACAGTGGTGGATATGGAGATTGACTGCATGGAGATACGGTCCAATATTCATTTCAACATATCTACTGCACCCATTTTGAGAAATTGGACAGTGATGGAACTTTAAATATTTGGCTTTCTTTACTCTTCATGATGATTTGGATGCTTTGTGATTAGTGTAATCGGCGTATTTTTAAGAGAAGTTATGCATGTGTGAACAAATGGTAAGAAAGATCGCCTATCATGTTCGGTAAAGCATGGTCGCACCACCTCACAAAGCATGATCACACCACATCTCAAAGAAAGCAATATCAGAAAACTTAGTAATATGGCGGCGACAACAATGATTAAAACCCTCACATTGATTGCATGGACATTTTCTAGAACTGAAGCACTTCAAGTTAAATATTGATGGGTCTTCTCTTTAGAATCTAGAAATAACGGGTTGTGTGGGAGTTATTAGAAGGGATGATGGTTTTTTTGCTGCCTTTGCCATTTTCCTTTAGTGCCGAGCCAAATGAATATGACTAGTTTTGTGCCTCGGAAGCGAGAGTCGATTTGGCTATCCAAATGAATTATTTTCCCATTCAGATTGAAAGTGACTCTTCACTTCTTGTACATGGCATATGTGGTTAATGTAAATCTCCACTGGCACTTCACACAATAGGCACTAATTGCCAATATAAAATATGGTCGATTTGCCTTATTTGTCGCAACGTTAATATGGTGGTTGGTGTATTGTTAAAAAGATGACAATTTTTTCGGATGCAACAATTTGATATTCTAGGCACCATGATTTTCTTTCTCGTTTTTTTATTGCATAGTGCTGAACAATTGTTTATTATAGGATTGTAAAATAGTATGTTGTAATTCATCCTATTTTATTAATAAAAAAAAACGGCCATTTTTCCCTTAGTAATTTATAAAAAAAGAAAATAAAAAAAATATTGATGGCTAGATGGTGGTAATGACACAGTTTAGAGCGAGGATGGCAAATACAACGGGGTTTCTTTTGCACAAGTGGGAAGAAGAAGCTACCCGTTGAGAGAGAGAGAGAAGCTCTTGCATCATCAGCCACGTGATTATCGCCCCAAAACGCGAGCGAGATGAGAGAACATGAGTCAGATTTCATTAAAATCAAGGCCCACAAAAGTCTCAAAAAACGGCTCTGCCGTTATTTGAAGCCTCTCCCGTTCTCCCTCCGCAATTTTCGATCTTTTATTTTCTCTTTCTAGGTCAAGCATAAGAGTTTCTTTATTTTTATCATAGATATAAGAAACCTTATTTTACGATGCAAAGAGGCCTCGAGGATACCCCAGTCATTTGAAAATAGTGTAGGCCAAATCTTTGACCCATTTGTTTACCAATTTACAGTAGAGAGAGAGAGAACGGGGGTGCTTTGTCTGTGTCAGTTGCCACTCTCTTTCTCTCTCTAGTTTTATCCTTACGGTTAATAACGGGCAAAACCGCTTTTGTGGGGGTCCTGTTTTTGGCCACGAGAGAGGAAACCACGCGTTTTTGACTCAAAACCACTTATCTTCCCCAAGGAAACCGGAAAAGTTCAACTTTTTAAATTACAAAACCGCTTAACTGTAGTGTGAAAAAGAGATAGAGAGAGAGAGAGTGTGTCAGTTAGTTGGGACCCTGCAGATCCTCACACCTTCCAAACATCTATTTATTCGCCCCTCGCCCCCTCATTTCCACACCCTCATTCTCACTCGCTCCCTTCTCTCTCTACCTCTTGCTATCCATCTCTCTTCTTCTCATTGTGCCTTCAGCATAGGAAGCTGTAAGCACTATTCTCTCTCTCTGTTCTTGTGTCCATTCGTTTTTCTCTCTATAAAGTTTGATAATCCTGTTTTCACAGTAATGCTGAAACTCTGGTGCAATTTTTATTGCAGGAAAATGGGGTTTCTTGGTGTTTTCATGGTGGGTTTTCTTGCCTTGTTCACCTCTGCTAAAGCAGATGGGTGGGGTTGGTCAGGTGGCCACGCTACTTTCTATGGTGGTGGTGATGCTTCAGGCACAATGGGTATTGTCCCATTACCTTCTCTCTCTAGATTTTGTTCTTCTGAGTCTCAGTTAATATAACTCTCTCTCTCTCTCTCTCTCTCTTTTTCAAGATCAGTTTTTTAATAACTTCACTTCGCTCTTGAAGTAATTCATGAGTTGGTTTCTCTCCCTCTCTCTCTCTTTATATATATCACTTCTTCACACCTTCTCTCTCTAAGTATGTCTTTGTCCCCCCCCTCCCCCCACCCCCCAAAATATAGCACACCACTCTCTCTCTAAACATCTCTGATTTTCTCTCTCTCTAACAAATTGGATTTCAATGAAACAGGGGGAGCTTGTGGCTATGGAAACCTCTACAGTCAAGGCTATGGCACAAACACAGCTGCTCTTTCCACTGCTCTCTTCAACAATGGCCTGAGCTGTGGTTCTTGCTATGAGATTAAATGTGTAAATGACCCAAAATGGTGCCTTCCTGGTTCAATTGTGGTCACTGGAACTAATTTTTGCCCCCCAAACAATGCTCTCCCTAACAATGCAGGGGGATGGTGCAACCCACCTCAGCAGCACTTTGATCTCTCTCAACCAGTCTTTCAACACATTGCTCAGTACAGGGCTGGGATTGTGCCCGTTGCGTTCAGGAGGTGGGTTTCTCTCTTTAGAATGGGTGCTCTGTTTCTTAGGCTGGGTTTACTTTGGCTTCTGTTGCTTTTAGGAGTTGGATTAAACCCTCTAGAATGGCTGCTCTGTTGATTTTAGGAGGTTTCTCTCCACTTTTTTGAGGTTTCCCTCTCTACATTTTCTATCTAGAATGGGTGCTCTGTTTTCTTTGGTTGGGTGGGCATAAACTTTGGCTTGTATTTGCTCTCTAGCAAAAAACAAAACTTGGACATTATTTTATTTTTGTGAGCTATAATAAAGTTCATTGCTTTCTCTTACTTGTATGGAAAACAAAGTTCATTGCTCTCCCTCTCTCTAACTTCGTTATATTATTTTTTTGCAGAGTTCCCTGCAGGAAGACAGGAGGTATGCGTTTTACCGTCAATGGCCACTCTTACTTCAACCTCGTCCTCATATCAAACGTTGGTGGCGCCGGAGATGTTCATGCCGTTTCCATTAAAGGATCGAGAACCGGATGGCAGGCGATGTCCAGAAATTGGGGGCAAAATTGGCAGAGCAATGCTTATTTGAATGGGCAGAGCCTCTCTTTCAAGGTCACAACCAGTGATGGACGGACTGTTGTTTCCTATAATGTTGCCCCTCCAAATTGGTCCTTTGGCCAAACTTACAGTGGTGCTCAATTCCGTTGAATCTCATTCTCTCTCTAAAGCTAGCAATCCATGATATAGTATAGGGTTTCTCGTTCTCTCTCTCTAAAGCTAGCAACTCACGGCCAAAATATAGTCCAAATCCCATTTTCTCTCTCTAGTTCTTGCAAGCGATGGCCAGAATATAGTTCTGCCTTTTAATCAGTCTCTAATTTAAAGAGGGCTTATTTTTGAGATGGCTCTTGTTATTATTTGTGATTTGTTTTTGGTTTTTGATTCTTGGCCTTGGTTAAAAGAGGCCGTAAGTGTTGGGAAGAATACTGTATTGTATTGTATTGTGGCATTGAAGCTTTTAGGGTAGAATTTGGCAGAGGTGTACTCTTGCCACCCGCCATTAGTACCTACGAATCTCTCTCTCTCTACAAATCTGTACTCTCTCTCTAGAGAGAGATTGAACGGTGGCCCTTCTTTTCTGTTTTTGGTTTTTGGTTGAAGGTTGTAAGTTGTAATGAGGTCATCGTAATCAACTCCTTGCTGAGTATATAGAGGCTGTTAAGGCTGTAAATTTGTAACCAACTTCTTGAGTAATGATATATATGTTTAATGCTTCTTTGCTTTGTTTCGGCTGAAAATTTGTACTCAACTTCTTGATTTATGATATATTCAATAAATGATATGTATGTTCACGAATTTGGAAATATATATCTCTCTTTTCTTGTATTAAATTCCGGAATTGGGTTTTGGATCACCACCCATTGTACCAATATGTGGATCAGTTGGCTCGGTGAAAAATCCGTTCAAAAAAAATCCATTGTAGATATAAGACGTACCTCTAAACTTTGCTTGGATACGTGGTTATAATATAAAAACGTGGTTATAATATAAAAACTTTTATCATGGGTTGAAAATATATTTTAATGTAATTATATATAAGGAGACCATTTACTTTTTATACAAAATGGTCACAATCTTTTACAACTATTTGATATGAATTTTGATAGTTTGGATGTACTATTAAGTTTGAAATTTTTTTTTTTTGAATTGAGTTTGGTCAATGGAATAATTACAGCCTTTCAACTTTACACATCTCATTTTTGGGACCACATTGTATAAAAAGTAAATAGTCTCATTTTATATTTTTTTTATTTTAATCCCTAAATGTAATTTAAAAGTTCAAAGGTATAAACCGAGTAGATCAATAAATGCATTACACACCTCAAGATCGAGATGACTGTATAAAAAGTACATAGTCTCATTTTATACTTTTTTTATTTTAATCCCTAAATGTAATTTAAAAGTTCAAAGGTATAAACCGAGTAGATCAATAAATGCACCATACACCTCAAGATCGAGATGACCGGAACATGCTCTTCATAAGATTTTTTGGGGTGCACCTTACTTTAATATTATAAAGCTGCAACCTTCTTTAAACTTTTTACAAAATAAAAAGGAGAGGCATCGGTGGGTGATGGGATTTGGATCACTCTCCATTGACTTTAATCTGAATAGGTGAATCCCAATTTGGATTCCTGGCTTTAGAAACACTGGGTTTCTTTATACCAGAAAGAAAACATGGGTCTTGCACAATAACCCAGGACATCAATTACATGGAAACGTCTCTGCCTATGGACCAGAAGTATGAGGAGATTTTTTTTTTTTTTAAAACGAAGATCGCGGGATATCTTTCATGGAAACTTTATTGTGTCGGTGTTTGCAAAAATGAAATTTGGTTCTCTCTCAACAATCCAGCACTGGTCCAGCAACACATTTAATGAGAGTTTGAAAAATATTAGGAGAGAGAAAAAGAAGAGAAATATGTCTGCTTCTCCAGAGTCTTGCATTAACTTACCATCGAGGCTGTTTCAGTATCTCAGTACTTGATATATGCTATGCTTAATAGCAGGGTCCCTGAATTTGCACTTTGTTTTTTTCCATTTCCTTTTATGAGAGTTTTCCAAGCGTCACAACATTTATAAAGAGAGTTCTAAAGCTGACCCAATCTCTGTCTCTCTCCTTCGTGGTAGTACTGTAGCTTCTATCTCTAGATTGAGTTTACTATAGTTTTGATAATTTCACGAAAAGAAAAGTACATAATGAGACGTTTATCTTTGGTATAAGGTGGTCACAATTAATCTTGATTATTGAATGTAAAATTAGATGACTGCATTTTCAAAAGAAATTTTTTTTAACTTTGTGACGTACCCAAACTATCAAATTCCACTCTGGATGGTTGTAATAATTGTGATTTTTTTGTATAAAAGTAAATAGTCTTATTATATATACTTTTTGAATAAATGGACTGCGGTTACAGTGGTATTACCTCATGATTTAAAAAAATCAGTTTTGATGATTTCATAGGACTATGATATACCATCTCTCTCTTTCTCTCAATTCAGTTTCAGGTTTAGATTTGTTTCTTTTTGGCTAAAGTTACTATCAAATTGGATGAAGATTTGTATTTTTTCAATTTAGAATTAGGTGAATCAGCCAATCTGGCTAGCCTAGTTTCTTCACAGACTCGCCCATGGCCCAGTTCCTACCAAAGACTGCATCTTGTATCATTTTAGTACAAGGTCACAATTATTGATCTTTAAATGTGATGGCAGTGCGCGTGCCATTAATTAGTCCGAGAGTTCAAAACATAAGAAAATATCACACCCAAGCCGTCCAAATTGATTTTTAATCATAATTGTGACCTCTTTATAAAAAAGATAAATAATACTGTAGTATACAATCCCCAATGAATATTACCACCGACGACAACATAATATTTCTGCTTTGAAAGCCAAACCCTACGAAACTATACAAGTAGATGCCTGATTTCCCTTTCTCAAAAATTTAAGTCACTTTGCATCTCATTTCATGAGCTTTCTCTCTCTCCTCTTGTGATTTTTCATTAATTCAATTCAAAGTTTTGAAGTTTGAAACTTTGAATAGTAGCCCCATCATGCTTAAACTTTAAAGGTGCACCTCTCTCACTCTGGTGTGCCTTTCACTTCCTATTTGCTTTGTAATACCTTTTTCCCCTTAAGGTTCTAGTGCATCTTTGACAGCTCTCTCTCTCTCTATCCCTCATGCTTTTGTCTCCTAGAGAGAAAAAGAGAGCAAAAGGCAGTCTAATCAGTACCCACTTCGGTTAAGTTTTTATGATTAGCTTTGAGAAAATATTGGAGGAGAATCAGAACCTTAAAGACAAACCATGGCCTACCATTATTCGTGTTCTGCTCTCTCACTCATGAATACTTTTTCAGGAGCTTGAATCCATGGTTGAAAAATGAACAGCTTCTCTCCTTCTCACTCTCTCTGAATCACAGCTTCTCTCTTCTCTCTAAAACTCTCTGTAATTGACCCCATTCGCCCTCTCCCTCTCTCTCTAAATCTTTCTCACTGTAACTGCCGCACCAAATGGGGTAATCTTTGGCAGGTTCACAGCAGTTGCAGAGCTACTGTCCCAATGTAAAAAACCAAGAAAAAGGAAAAAAACAAAATGGAAAGAGAAAGATCAAACTGTCCAACTTCTGCAAAGTTTCCTTCCCCTCAAATTTACTGCATATCTCTCTCTCTATTTTGAAAATTCATGGAGGGGAAACCATGACAGGGAAGTGCACATGGGTGAGCTAGGGATGCATTCCCTTTCACTCTCCAAAGGGTCGAAAGGGACCCTTGTGAGATTTGTTGGCTCATCTAATTTTTGTAATTAGGATTTTGTACTATGAGACTATTTATCTTTAGAGTAACTATCTCGTGAGACCCTTACATATGTATAGGTTGTACAGGATTTCACTCTTGTGCTGTAAAGTGTGCATCCAAATTCCAATTCCCAAAAAAAGATAAAGAGCACCAGCTCACCCAACAGACTAAAAAGATTCAGTTAAAATAAAGAAAAAAGAGGAAATTGGTGCCCTTGTTTATGTCTCTCTCTCTCATGCTCTATTCACTGTTAATTGGCGACCAGTCTCTCTCTCATCTGAGCCAATTTCACGCTCAAGTTCCACAAGAGCGAACCCATCTCAATATATTACAAGTCCATGCCTCTCTCTTTCCCCTGCCTCTTCGTGCACCCCATATATGTGTCCGTAACTGTGAGTAAATCCTTTTTCCCTCCATAACAAAAAAAAGCTTATTCTCCTCATTTAGTCCTCTTTCTAAAATTTGTTGCTAAAACAGAGATTGGGCGAAACATCTATTGTAGCAAAGATATTGGTTCTCGCATAATACATGGGGGTGTTAGGGACCTTATACATATTGGACAAACATTTATTGTAGCAAATGCCTCTGCTCATTTTAGAAAAATTTATCTATAATTCATCTCTAAAAATATTGTTATCTCTTGAGGGAAAGCCTAGTGAAAAAATAAAAAAGAGTGGGCGACTCCAAAGAGAAGAAAAGCTTGTTGGGCTTGCAGGGCTCTATTAGAGCAAAGACAGCCAAGGCTTGGAAGAGTCCTTACAGCAAAATCCCTCTTCCAGGCTCACGCCCTAATCACCGGAGACTCGTTGCGTGGATTCTTCCTATTTTTATTTATTTTTTATTTTTTATTTTATTTTTTACACTGCCCCATTTTTTTCTCGAGATATGGATGTATATTTGACGGCACAAAAGTGGCGCAGCCCATATGAGTGTGGGGCTCATAAGATCATTACTCTTATTTTTATTACGAGGAGGTCATATTTACTATTCTAGCTAGTAAGTAGTAACCGTTATTATGGGTTTTTTTATTTTTTATTTATTTTCTTTTTGTTAGTTCAACGTAGAAATCTAACTTGAGATAAGTGAAAGCAATATCGGTCAGTCCAGAACCGGCCGGTTCTAGTTTGGCTAGTTTGAGTGATTTGGCTCGGTATTTTTAAAAAATACCAAAAAAATCTATAAATCCCAAAAATAAGAGATTTGTTTGTAATGTGCTTTTAAAATTTTTTTTTTTTTTTTTTTGGAAAATATTGGAAATTATTTTGGATATAAATCTTTATTTTTACATTTTCCCATCTTTTTTGAAAATTTCAAAAATATACTTGGGCACAAATTGATTTTTTTAAAATCCATTTTTTCACTAATTTTCAATTTTATTAGGATGTGTTTTGTTTAATCATGCTTTAAATATACTTTTCATATTTTGTTAGATTTTTTATATTTTTAATTTATTTTAACACTTTTTTTATCAACTGAGACTTTGCCCGATTAAGTCAATTTAACCGGCCGATTTACCGGTTACTTGGAACCAGTCCGTGGTTGGTTTTCGAAGCCGGTTCGATTTTTTGAACACTGTTTGAGATATATGTTAAACACATAAAAAACAGAGGAAAAATATTTATCTATTGACCATTATCAACATGCATATATAATACAACCAGAGGTAATTTGCACAACAAGATAAATGACAGTAAGTAACTTTCTATACATAATATAAATGTAAGATCTTCAAGTATCTTTACACTCCCCCTCAAACTGAGGTTGGTTGAACAACATCAGTGTCACACCCTAAGAATTTAAAATACAGATATTCCTAAGATGTGACAGTCAAAACATATATACATCTCTTGATAGGACAAATTTACAGTGGCGAATTCTTACAAAGTAACAAAAGAAAGCTTAGGCACAACTACAGTATCT